GTTTACCTGGATAAACACACACCACAAACAAACATCATGCAGTTCTGTAGAATATTAAAATGAATATGAAACACACAGTATCAGCTTCTGTTCTGTGTTTCTTTGTGTGTGTGTTTGGTTTATGAGTCACACTAGCATGTGTTTAAAGCATCTACCGCATCCTGTCAAAACTGCACAATGGTCAGTCTTTCAGTCCGTCTGTCTGTCTTACTCTCTGTCTGTCTGTCTGTTTTCCTCCTATCCATGTCTGTCTCACACACATTGCTGAGGGGCAGAGGAGCAGCCAACAATAGTGAATTGGCCAACAGTTGATTTGGCTTGTTGACATACTATGAGTGTTATCACATGAGCCAGTTGTCAGCTTCCAGCCCTGGTTAAGCACCAAATCCAAGGTCCTCCTGCAGCTGTATTCACATGGGAACACAAAACACCAACTGTGGTCTCTCCTTCTGTTTAAATGAGAGATGTGACAGAACTGTTAGTGTTATTAGTTTATTGGATTTGGTGACTTCATATTATTTTCAGCATAGCATTGCCTAAAGTTAACTTGAGCACAGGTCATCTCAGTCAGGATAAGTATTAAAAACATGTGGGTGTTCAGGGCCTTTGAGACTTACAGAAATTCTACAGCAACATATCAAAAGCTTTTAGCCTATTCACAGAGAAACTGAAAAGTATTAACAGCAGTTTTGATAACCGATTATTCATTTGATTGTAACTAACTGCAAAATATGCTTTATTTTCTGAGATCTTTTATTAAGTCTGGCCCTTTTCTTGGGGATATTAATATGTATATGAGCACTTATTTTGTCTTTATTGGACAGACAGGAAAGAAGGAGGAAAAGAGGGAAATAATATGTAACAAAGGTCCCTGGATGGATTTAACCCGAGGACATTGCAGTTACGTGGTATGCATCTTAAGCATTCAGCCTTTACAGCGCCAGACTTCTGTTCTTTTTATTCTATTGCTGTTTCTTGACCATCAACAGTTGTGGTGACACTTTCAGACATGAAGAACTAAATTTCAGTGCCAACAAATGCCAGCTTTCACCCCAGAGAGCAGTGGTCACGTCCAGTAAGATTCTAAAGCCAAACTCTGTTCTTTTTTCCCAAAACTAACCACCTCCTTTTGTTGCGTAAACCAAATCATGTGTGTTTGTTGTTGAAGGGAAAAAAAAAATCAATTCACTGTGTTGTACCTACATTATGCATTTATTTTTAAGGGACTGTCTGTAAATGTTAAATTTCCTGTGAAAACGGAAGTGTATTTTAAAAGAAGACAATGTGTGTAACAGGCAGAACTTGACGCGGTGTCCCAGAACGTCAACGACCCATGCACCCAGGGTACCTTGCACGTCATATGTGGACGTGGAAAGTCCATGACCAAAAGGTCAATATGTGACGAGGTCCGAGTGAGAATGTGTTGACCGTGATGTCACCCATTAGATTGCGGACTCCAATTTTAAAGCCTCGAGTTCAGCATCTCGTCCGTCACCATTTTGGTTTTATTTGTTGCCAGAAGTGAGCATATTTTGGTGAGAGGCTGGCGCTTTGGTGGAGTGAGTGGTGGAATTGACTCAGATTGTGGCGGTGACTCACAGACTCACTCAAGCAGCACCGCTCTTAATTAAACGCAACTTAAAACCTTAATAAAATGTAACAGTGAGTTATATAAATAAATAAGAACGTTTGTAACCCGACTGCCATGTTGAAAACATTCAAACCAAAACAAAGCACCGACCACCGGCAAGGACAAATGTTCTCATTTTACAGCTAAACAGTACATTTAGGTATGTTTCTGAAAACATCTGAGGTGAGAGCAAAGCAGTGCAGTAACAGAGTATTTGACCAGCATTGCCTAGTTTGACAGTTTGACCACAGCTCACAAGCAGTGATTGACAGCTGCATTAAACCTCCTTAAGCTGTCTTACAAATCGTTTAGAAGCACTATGAGGAGGAGGAACATGATTTCTTATCACAGATTATCAGTCTGATGTACTACTGTCAGGATGTAGCCTATGTATAGTTTCAGCAAATATCAGAAAACAGTTTTTACAGTTTTTTTACAGCTTTAATGTATGGATGTAGATGAATTCAAGTAAATATTTTTCTATCTACATTGTGGTCTTCACTGTGTGATGATAATACTGTACCCACCTTTTAATTTACTGCTAAATTGCTGCAGATGACTAATGTTACAGTCAGTAATCGGGCAGTGTGACAAGTTCAAACAGTCAGGCGACAGTGAGCATGTTTGTGCAGGACGCTCACTCTACGGCTCTGACTCAAAACCCACCACCGTGTTTCCCAGGGAAAATGCTGGCAAACATGAAAGTCAAGGCCTTCTGGAAAGATCTTGCTGGGTTTCAGCGGCAGAGGAGGAATTCACTCTGACAAGATTCAGCACATCACTGCAGACACAGAGAGATATGTGAGAGGATAGGGAAGAGAAAAAGGGGGAGGGATGGTTAGCAAAGGTATGAGGAAAGTAGGAATGAGAGGAGGAGGAATTCCTGCGTGTAGAGACTGGTCCCAGCAGCAGAGCTCTGACAGTTCACAAAGTTACGCTCGCTGATAAAGTGTGTTTGCAGAGTGAATAATAAGTAATGTGCTGCAGATCACTATTTGAACACACTACCTGAGCTTGCCTGATGGTGATATATGGTCTAATCTTAGCTTGACATGATGCGTTCAAGGCTTTTATATAAAATGCGCGGGTAATAAATTACTATTTTGCATCTAAACTGTCATATTGAGAAACTAGTCACTACAGTGGAATGTATGACTTCCCAGTATGTTACAGATTTGAGCTGAACATCCTGTGAGTCAAACAGTATTTACCAATATGTTTCATAAAGTGGCATAAGGGTGAGGCTGGTCTGAGGAACTGTGAAATACTAAACTGAAACATTGCTCAAGTTGCTCACATAGATGTAACGCTGTAGGCCTAGTGTTACTGTGCTGAATTAATTTATTGCAAAACAACTTGCCTAAAGGAGCTCACTGACAAAAAGGATTCATGGGCCTCCCTCTGTTCCTCATCCCTTTAGGTTGGTGCCATTTTGAAGACTAGCTTAGACTAGCCTCCAAAACACACAAAAAGCGTCGCGCTGCGGGGCGTCAACCGGATTTCTATTGCACACTCCAGTCCGCTAGGCTGGGAAGTACAAAATAGCGCTTTTTCAAGGGCGGGGACGCTGGAAAAATAGGACAATAGCGTAAAGTGCCACGGCGCGGCATGTCGACGCGCGTCGAGCCGCCGCCGGTGTGGGTTTGTAAATAGAAAATGGGGGCGGCTGTTTTGACGCACGTCGTACGCTGCCGGTGTGTTTTGGCCTTAAAGCTTAAACATGTTTGGTTTTAATGGGAATGTGGAAAACAAATCAAAGAGTGCAAAGAGTTACCTGAATGCTAATTAAAATACTCAGTTTTAAACCATAATTGGTGGTGGTGTGGTGGTCAGCACTGTCGCCTCACAGCAAGAGGGTTCCAGGTTCGATCCCGGGCGTGGGAGCCCTTCTGTGCGGAGTTTGCATGTTCTCCCCGTTTCAGTGGGTTTTCTCCAGGTACTCCGGCTTCCTCCCACAGTCCAAAGACATGCAGATTGGGGACTAGGTTAATTGGTGACTCTAAATTGTCCGTAGGTGTGAATGGTTGTCTGTCTCAATGTGTCAGTCTGGCGACCTGTCCAGGGTGTACCACGCCTCTTGCCCAATGTCAGCTGGGATAGGATCCAGCCCCCCTGCGACCCTCAAGAGGATAAGTGGTTAGAAAATGGATGGATGGGCTACAGAGTTGACCTGTTATGGTTGAAACACACATGATAGCACTATCATTCAATGAAATTAACAATAAATAAATAAATAGGAAGCTCACCAGTTGAACATACTTTAACTTGTGTGTATTCCTGCCTTTTTGGACACCGGGAAGCGAGACAGGCGTCCTTGTAATATAACTTACTCCTTTTATGCTATATATTAAATGATGTTTCTGTAGAAATCTGAGTTGACAAAAATCTGGGACACATCTCTAAAGAGCCTAATTTTCATAAAAATATATTTTAAAACAAAGATGATTACAGCAGTACTTTGAGGGATTTTAACACATTTTTTAATTGTCTGAAGTTGTGAATTCTTGTTAGGGACAAAGGTGTTTTCTGGCCCAGTGCATGTTTAGAAGAAAAAAAAAATGAAAGGAAGCTGAAAATATGACAACCATTCATGTCCTATTTATCAAGAATGGACTGAATTGTTTGCGTATATGTATAGATACTAGCAATGGGCTGGACAAATAACATTCCTTTTGTTTTGTAGTTGGTGCTGAAATTCTTGCTGGTCATACTACCTATAGGAGTAGTTGGTACTGTTCATCTTTGAGGGTGGGGACAGGTGACTTGTATTTGTGCTGTTTGTGTTAAAATCTGAAAATCTACAAATAATTTTTTTTGAAAATGAAAGCAGATCAATGACCTTCCCAAAAATCTTGTTTCTTTTTTTTTACACTTTGGGTAAAGAAATATTCACGCCTGCAAGTGGGAGTTATTTTTTTATCAGTACAAAATGCCATTAAAAGAATTGGAAACATATTTGGTGAAACAATGTCATACACTTAGCTTAAAATGCTACTAATAATAAGCTTATGATACTGTCTTAAATTTGTTACTGGAGGACGATGCACATTTTAACCGCTAACACTATTGCGGGCTACACCACAACCTTTTGGCTAATTAAGCTAGTGCCTGAGTGTTTTCACATTAAAACTGGTTATCATTAGGATAATAATTGGCTATAAGGTAAAGCAACTTTATAATTATGTCACCCACATTTTGTTAGAATAAGTGTTGTGGGAAAAGCTATCAAATACCAGTCTCCACTACAGATGTCTATGCTTCCTGTGCTAAGGGCTCAGACTGCTGATGGCAGGAAGGCGGAGGAGGGTTGGTTTCAGGGAAGGAGTGGCGCGGAGGGGCGGAGCGGTTCTCACAACCGGGCGGTGTCAGCCGAAGAAAACGGGGCAGAGGTGCAGCGAGAGGCCGAGGCAGGGCTTCATTTCCCTGGGTGATTGTACTGAGTAGCACCAGCGGACTTCAGGTAAGAGGAAGGAGCGTTGCAGGGCGTTTTCTCGTGACTCAGGAGCAGCCGTGTCCTCCTGACCGAGGAGCAGCAGACAGGATTTATACCTCACTGCGGCACAGCTGCTGCTCCTCACACAGCTAATAACTTTCAAACATGTCACAGCGAGCCTCGAGATATGTCAATAATAAAAAAATATGATACCAGTAGCTAAAAATGCGCCGTCTAGCTAATGTTATTTAATGTTAATGACTTGCATGCGTTTGTGCTTGTTTAATTTATTTTTTCATTAAAATTTTATACATTACAGCGGCTATTATGTAAAGGCCTACTATTTTGTCTTATTTAAAATGAGAATTATGCTAGCTGACCAATTATGAAGCCTATATAGCTAGCTAAAGGAATTTCTATTATTTCTTCTTATTGCATATATGCTTTGCTTTTCTTGCAGTTATTGCTCACAGTGTCTGATATAAAATAGGCTACTACAAATTTTAATAACACATTTTATAATTCTTTTTTTTTTTTCAAATACATATACATATAGCTTAAGGATGAATTTTTCTCTGTGATTGTTTTAAATGAATAACACTGGAGTGTGACTGGCAGACCTTCATTGTCACTCTGAAACATAGATTCATGTTTCTTTTGTGTGTGTGTGTGTGTGTGTGTGTGTATGTGTGTGTGCGCGCCTCAGTCATGTGCATCACTGCTGGTGTGACTGAATGAAGAAATCCTCAGAATCTGAATCTGGAGGACAGACATCATCCAGACAACGCAGTGACATTGAGTCAATGTTAGATCAGCCAGGATTTATAACATTGTCATTACATCTGTGATCTGATTTATGTTGTTGTTGTTGTTGTTGTTGTTGTTTTAATCAGTAGTTTGATGCTGTAAATATGTTTGATCGAGACTCCTCCTTCCACAAGACTTAATTTCTTAACTTTATCAGCTGTCATTTTACCAGCACACTGACTCAGATACAAACATGCTATTTTTGATCATGAAATGTTTTTAATAACACATTTCTGTGATTTTCTGATTAATAATTGCATAAACACACATCTAATCTACCTCTATTTTAAGAAACATACTCTGAAAACACAGCAAGGGCAAACCTTAAAGGCAGCGTCTGTTCTTCTGTGTAACAGGGACATCTTGTGGCAGTAACGATGTAATTTTCTGTAATCCAACAATTTGGCATGAACAGGGTTATTTCACACTGAAAAGCTGTAAGGATTATATTTGCAAAAACATAATTATATCTTTAAAGATTATAAACATAGCTTAAGTTTATTGCATTCCCTATGTACTGGAAATGCACTCAAAATGATCACAAATTGCAGCCACACAGTCCAGCTTGGTAAATAAGTAACTATGTTTTTAAGGTCTTCAGTATCTATTGTCATAAGGAGGATACAGTCTGTGTTGTGAATACAGGCCTGTTTTGCATTTGGGATAATGCAACTCCATCCATTATTCAAATAACTTTGGCAAAAGATAACATGTCATCTGACCACTGGTGTTACACTGTTGTCTTAGGAGAGGCTCAAACACGCTATATTTGTTTCAGCTGTCTTTGGAGACATTAGTGACTCTGTGATTGCCTGCCCATTTCTGTGTGTGTCTGCCAGACTATGCAACCACTATATTTGCATGTTTGTGCGGAACTAAGCCGATTTGTTTATATGGCAGTGCTGTAACATGATCATGGCACACGTGAGATCTTTAACGCAGAGAAAAATCCTGATTGAAAGTGAGTGAATTTCGATGTGGAAAGGTGAATTGGAATGACGGAGAGGATTTTCTAGCCAATGCCTCGCTAATGTGTATTCAAAGTCACAGTTGGAAAAATGGGAGGAAAGACATCATTCATCGCATTAAGTCTGGATTTCTCATCAGATCAAATGTTTAATGGATGTCGAAGTAGGGAAAAATAGCATTTTGGTAGATTTGTATCAAACAGTAATGAGAGGATTGGTCACTTTTCTGTGATGTTTGGAGTTAGATGCCATTGATATCTGAGGCTTATAATACTTGATTTGCCTGGATGGCTTTAGGCTCCTAGGCTTATTGATTGTCTGTGGATGTAATACATCAAGTTGCCATAAGGTCTCAACTAGCAGGGCTGTGCTCTCTGCAGCAGAGAGCTTTCTCTCAGACTAAATCATATAGTACCGTCTAATAATATTATCTCTTATTACTGGGACTGTATATCGAGGCCAGTATTGTCTATATTGAGCTGCCACGCTAATACAGAACTCTGCTTTTGCTACTGAAAGCATCATTCTAGCCTGAGCTCTAATAGGACTCATCTGTTTCTGAAGGGATCTGCATGCTAAAATGGAAATATTCAGCTGCCTCATTTCATTAGCCTATTAAAGGGTCAGCTCATCCAAATTACAAAAATGATTTTCTCATAATACATGCCTCCAATAACCTTTTGTAGATACCATCTTTGGTTTTATTTGGGGAAGCTTTTAGATTTCAGCCACTACAAATGAAATGAACCACAATATTCTTTGGCAGAAAGTAATTGAGTCTTTGGATTTCTTGAGTACTCAGGATGTTAATTCAGAAAAGACACATTGCTTTTAATGTTGTTGCATCCTTTGAGTAGCCAAAACATATCATTCATCTGTTTCATACTTGGGTAATAGACAGTGGTGTATTGGTACTTGATGAGGTGGGTGTACTACTCGGTAGAATACAGAAGAGGAAATGGGTAGGCAAGTATAGGAGAGTCAGAGTAGGAGAATATCTCCTATATATTCCAATGGCTTTTTGGCTGATAGGTGGGTATACTGTACAACCCGAAAAAGACGTGGGTATACCTCATATACCTGCGTTTACCCTCCATTACACCACTGGTTATTGAAAGGTCTCAACAGCTGAGGTCTCAGAACAAAAGCAAAAAAATCCCGATTGTCCCAGTGAGATGCCACTATGCTATGAGTGCATCCATACTTAGTTATAACAGATAAAATCATGGTGATTGTCATTTTCAAGTGGGAAAGTTTGATGTTTTCGTGACTTGGACTAACTCATCCTCATCCTAACCTTTAAGCCAACAACAACAAGCTCATGTGGCTCACCTGTTTGTGTTCCAGAGAGACCTATGAAATACATTAGTGTTAATATAAATAAATGTCCACATAAGCTATAATACAAACCGTTTGCACCCATCACAGAGTCATATTACACCAAAAGCAATCTACATAAATCTAGTAGATGTTATAAGGGTCTATGGGCTGATGTAACTGTAATGCTAAATGGCTCTTTGTGTAATAGCTCAAGCTACTATCTATTTTTGTCATTGCGTTAACAGAGCTGTGCTGTTAGAGAGTGTGGCTCCAGGCTGGCCCCAGCACGTAACAGTAAATAGAGGAATAACGAACACGCCCTGCTATCATATCTCATAGACTGAGCTAATCGAGCCTTGAGCCAAATCTGTTTCTGTTGTACCCTGAGATGCCGAAACTATGAATATCATTCAATCAGTTTCTCTATTTTAGGCTGCTTGTTAAATCTTTAAAAGCAGTTACCCAGGAAACCATCAATAGGAAAGCAGGATGATCTGACTTATTTAAGTGAGACTTAATTACTTTTGAAGGGAGAAATAATACAGTCTTCCTCTTATAAAATGAAAATGTTAATTTTAAAAGCAATAAAACACTGTCTTGCTCAGTTTGATACACTCAGAGGTTTTGCTGTTAAAGGCTTCCTCGGCCTGGCATGACTGGTAGCTTATGGTGGCTAATGTTAGCTAATTTATTAACCTTTACGGTGTGCTGCCGTCGCACTAACTTTTAGCATTTGTAGTAATTCCATAATTGTCACTTGTTATCGCAGTAGCTGCTGTTAAGCAGAATTGACAGAGGGTAACTTTGACGCATGTAAATTTATTTCCTTAGCATGCAAAGTGGCAACAATATTATAAGAATAGGTAAAATGCCAGCCGAACAGCCAATTCTAATAAACAGCTATCAGTTCACAGGAGCTCATAACATCAAACCATTTTATCCTGGTGACTGACATTAAAGGGACAGTTCACCCCTAAATCAGAAATACATATTTTTCCTCTTACCTGTACTTGTGTTGCTATTTATCAATTTATCGATTGTTGCCAAGTTGCTGAGTGTTGGAGACATTGGCTGTAGAGATGTCTCTGAACTGTCCCTTTTATCTATACAACTGAAGAGAAAACATTCAACAGTTACTGTGAAATACTGACTGATTTATTGAGACAAACTAACAACACTTTTAGCTCGTGATCAGGCTACCAATCATTTCAACTATTTCACTTGTTTGGCTCAATCAAACTGAAATAATGTTAGAACTTAATGGTAAAGTACCATTGTCTATAATATAATTTATTTATAATATCTGACGATATGTACAGTGTGTAAAGAGTTCAAATTGTGTTACATTATCTAAATGCAGCTCCTGCACTACTTTATAGGAGTCAACATGTCAACAAATGTCAGCGCCGAGGAGATGGAGGAGATCATGGAGGGCTTCCAGAAAGTGGGTAAGTAAAAATGTAAAGCAGCTGACCAACACGTGTTTTTATACATGGTGTGTGCACCATCTGACAGACAGATGTTTATGTTGGGATTTATGGGAAAGAAATGAAACCTTTGATACACCCACATGTAAGTTATCGCTTAAAAGTCCAATGTTTAGGATTTTAGGGGGATATATTGACAGAAATCAAATATAATATAATAAGTATGTTTTCTAGTGTAGAATTACACCCCAAAAAATAACTGTTGTGTTTTAGTTACCTGAGAATGGGATGTTTATATCTACACAGGAGTTCACCGTGTTGCGCCACCATATTTCTACAGTAGGCCAGAACTGACAAACCAAACACTGGCTCTAGATAGGGCCATTTGCATTTTAGTGTTTGCTCGTTGACACGTCGGCCACCGTAGTCAGCAGCTCCTCTGTGATGGACCAGTGTCAGAAAAACACCAATTTGTAACTGATTTATTCAGTGTTTTTGCACGTTTTAGTCACCTGGTCCGTTTATTATGGAGAGGAAGAGACTTCTGTGGATGATTCGGCTCTCTGTATAAACCTCGCGAACTCCTTGATCTTAAGTTATCAAAGACAGAAGGTGAGCACAGATTAGGAGATGCTGGTCGAACATCTAGTTTGACATGCCAAACATCATCACAGAAATCACTGATTTGTAACGTGAAACTGCTTTATTCAGTATTTGTACTAGTTTCAATCACTTGGTCCATTTGTTTTGGAGAGGAGGAGACCTCTGTGGATAATCCAGCTCCTGGTAAAAACCTCCCTTACAATGAACACTGAAGGAATTATAACCGGGAGAAGCTTCAGCTGGTTGCAGTGTTCCTCGAAAGGAATAGTTTGACATTTGGAAATTCGCTTATTGGTTTTCTTTCCAAGAGTGAGATGAGATTTAGTTTTAGGTGAGATCAGTTTAAGTCTTTATGCTAAGATAGCTGTCTCCTGGCTTAAGCTTCCTATTTAACCACTACTGACATTGTAACTAATTAACTGCAAATAATTATTCCTCTAGTGTAAACAGTTATTAACACATGTAAATCAAGCAGATAAGCGGAGAGGCAAACATTGGATCTAGTCCTGCGAGACTCCTGGTGCTTAGAATAACAAGTGCAAAACTTGTTTTGAACATTACTGACCGAATCTTGATAGTCTTGCATCAATTGGAGAAAGAGCAGCATGCCCTCCAACTAAAATATCACTTAAACTTCTTTTATTTTTCCTCTTGTCTCCACCCTACTTCTCTAGATGTGGATAGTAACGGGTACATCACCGCCAGTGAACTTGGTGATCTCTTCCGTGAGGTGGGCATGGCTTTGCCAGGATATAAGATCAGAGAAATCCTTCAGAAGCTGGACAGAGATAACGACAGCCATATCAACCTTGAAGAGTTCACGGCTGTAGGTAACACTAACTAACTAACTAACTAAACCGTTTTGCAGCTATACTAACAGTTTACTAACTATCAGCTAAATGTCAATCTCGTAGCCCCTCAGCTTTTATCTGACGGCGATAAGTCTCTGGGAGAAACAGTTTGTCATCAGACAATAGCCAGTGGGTTCCAGCAATACGTTTCAGCCAGTGTGTTCCACCTCTTTTGCTCACCCTAAACATGACTGGTCAATACTACTTGGACTACAATTGACCCTTGTTTTCACCAAGCAGTCTAGTTCAGTTCAGTTCACTTCACTTCAGTTTGGACAGAGCAGTGAGTAACAACAACCCTATCTACATTTTTCAACTCTGAACAGATCTAGGGTTTAAATATATATCCGTATGGGTTACGTATGTTCTAAGGGTAGCACACTGAAAGATTCTGGTAGAAACCCGGCTTTAGACTACAAACTGAGACCAGAGCACCTCAGATACCAAAATCTTGTCTTGTTTCCTACAGATTGACTAACTACCTGATTAAATCAAATTTTATCCCAGTTGATGGAAATTAAGGTATTGTCTGTTATACTTATTGGTAGCAGTGACTGACTACCTATATTAAATGATATCTTGATGAATTAAGCCACAATTTGATTGAGTCTTTTTGTTCATACAATCAGATTTTCAAGGACTTGAAGAACGACAAAATGGCCCAGAGTTTCAAGGTAGCTCTCAACAAGAAAGAAGGCATCCTAGCCATCGGGGGCACCAGTGAGATCTCTAGTGAAGGAACTCAGCATTCAATCTCTGGTAAGTAAAGCTCTAGGAACACAATGCCCATTGATGGATTACTGAAGGGCCTACTGGGTACAGACCCAGGGGTCCACACTGTTAGGGGTCCCCTCTGGCCTTCACCTGCAAAATGTCACTCGAGGAGACACATACTGACCAGGAAGAATCATAAACACAAAAAGACCAGAAAGAGAGAAACAAAATGACAACAAAGAAATGTAAGACAGCTGCAAAGAGATGATGACGACTACGTGAGATGCAAAATATAAAGAAAAACACAAAGAGGCAGAACGACCACAAAGACATACAACATGACTATAAAGCGATGCAGAGCAGCTACAAACAGACACAAAAGGACAACAAGAGACATAAAACAACAACAAAGAGATGCAAAATATCTGCCAGGAGACACAAAGAAACTCACGACAACTACAAGAGGTGCAAAACAGCTGCAAAGAGGCACAAAAAGACTTGGGATGACAATGAAAACAAACAAAAAGAGACACAAAACAACTACAAAAAGATGTGATATGACTACAAACAGGCAAAACAACCACCAAGATACACAAATTGACTACAAAGAGACACAGAATGACCACAGAGAGAGACACGAAACCTCAGAGAGATGCATAACGACTACAAAAAGGAAAACACAAAACTACAAAGTGATGCAATGTGAAACCAAAGAGACAGAAACACAAAAATCCAAACCAAGAGATGCAAAACAACAACAAGAGGCTACACAACCATAAGTCTGTGTGTCTTGCTCTTATGTAGGCGAGGTGCTGGGGCCCTCTGCATGTTCCCAGGGGCCCCTTATCTCATAATCCACCCATCACAATACCTGTTTGATATGTAAGGGTTCACTGTCCACTGTAATCAATGTCATCCAGCCAAGGCGATATCCATGACAGCAGAAGGGACATGACACTTTATTCAACTGTATTTCAGAGCAGGAGCGCATTGCCTTTGCCAACTACATCAACTCGTCTTTGGAGAAGGATCCAGACTGTCAACACGTCCTGCCCATCAACCCCGAAACTGAAGCTCTGTTTAAAGCAGTGGCAGACGGCATCATACTTTGGTAACACTTCACAAATCTGATAAAAATCATGTTTATAAAATCCAAGTATATTGATCACTCACTTCATCTGTGCTTACCTATCCACTACTTCAATTATTCTTATCCTTAACTTTACCTTCAACATCGCTGTTACTGATTTGTTGATTTGACCAACTTTTCAGTCTGTTTTCAGGCTTTGTATTAGTTCAGTGTGCAATATGTTATTCTTGTGTTTTTACAGTAAACTCATCAACCTCTCTGTTCCCGACACCATTGATGAGAGAACCATCAACAAAAAGAAACTCACACCTTTTACCACACAGGTTAGTGCTAGTTAGTCAGCTGTATATGTCATGTTTAGTGTTAATTAACTTAACTGCATACATCATAGAAAAAACAATATCAATTTACAGTTGTATTGAGGGGCTTCCAAAAGAGTTTGTTTTCATAACTGTATTTTATGGTGATACCACCCTCATATCTAAAACAACATCACTGTTTAGACATATGTACATTATATTGCATGAATCTGACCTTTCCTTTGGTGACTATCATCCAACTTTTTTCTCCACCAACAGGAGAATCTGAACTTGGCTCTGAATTCAGCTTCGGCCATCGGCTGCCAGGTTGTCAACATTGGAGCTCAAGATCTGAAGGAGGGAAAACCTCATCTGGTGCTGGGACTCCTCTGGCAGATTATCAAGATAGGACTGTTTGCTGATATAGAGCTGAGCCGCAATGAAGGTATGTACAAACACACACACACACAGAGTCAGACTTGTCCGTAAATATAGAATAAATGTTCCCATGCAGACAAACTTCCCATGACTATGTAGCACAGATTGTCAGCAAGAAACCTTAGCGACATAAAAGTAAAAATTCGGTCAGTCGTATCAATACATGCGGACAAGATTTCTCAGAGAAACATGTTTGCCATCAGTTAACCTTTCTGCACTGATCACTCCACCCTCACAAATCAGCTTGTCTGTCTGTGTACAGCTATTGCCGCATTGCTGGAGGAAGGAGAGAGTCTGGAAGAGCTGATGAAGCTCAGTCCTGAGGAGCTGCTGCTGCGCTGGGCCAATTTCCATTTAAAGAAAGTTGGCATGTCCATATCAAACTTCTCTGGAGATATTAAGGTAAGGAAATGTCAGTGTGATGCCTAAAACTCTTTCTGCAGACCACTGAAACATTAATTGCACTGCTAACCCTTAGTTTCAGGCTCTTGCTGTTGCTGTTTTCTCATATGAATGGAGAATCAGGTCTGGACATTGTCTGGAGTTTTTCTTATCTGTGTCAGAGGCATACCATGTCCAGTAGGCGTGTCACTTACTGGACATGGTATGGCACAAGCTTCATGATACAGATGTCCTCAACACACCCACTCACTGTGAATTCTCCAGACAGTTACCTGCTCTCCTCATACAAGGGCTTAATTGGACATTACAAAGACTTTATACTGGGGAGCTGGCAGGGTAAAGTCCATTCAATGTCGAGTCCAACTGATTTGGACATTTGCATTCTCAACATAGACTGTATAAAATAATGGACATAGCTACTGTGACTCCCATTTTTAAGCCTCAAGCTGGGCATTTCAGCTGTAGCCATCTTTGTTTTTTTGGAGCTAGAGGGGACCATAATTGGATGAGAGGTTGGAGCTGTAAAGGAGCGAGGGTTGGATCTGACTTACAGACTGTGGTGATGCCTTGCAGACAGCCTATCACACAAGTGGCCCCGTCCTCAAAAATACATAACTATAAGCCTTAATAATATATAAATGGGTGAGTCATATAAAAAATCACCACCGTCCAGCTGTCATAGATATTGAAATTGGCTATAGAGACCAAAACTGTTTTTGTACCAGGCTGTAAACATGTTTATTTCTGCTGTAATTGCTGTATTGACTCTTTTCGGAGCCAGCCTCCAGTGGCTGTTTGATGAACTGCAGTTTTTTGGCACCTCCACGTTGGCTTAATTTCTCAGACCTGGAGGTTACTGCTCGGTTCTCACTTACAGCTCCTCCAGTTAATGTGCAGATAATTTCCAGTTTGCAGTGCATGTGTGAAAGAGGCTTGTTTCAGACAGTAATAGTTCTGTAGTTCTCACTAAGTGTCTGTTTCTATGCAGGACTCCAAGGCGTACTTCCACCTGCTTGAGCAGATTGCCCCAGACGGCAGCAAAGAGGACGCTCCACGAGTTGAGATTGACATGTCTGGTCTTTATGTAAGTTGATAAAGCAATAATTCTATGTAACACGCAACATGCAACTTCTTATCATAAAGACGGAGTAGGTGATTCTGGAGAAAGATAGTTGACCGTTCAGTCTCATTCTCAGGTCGTCAAACAGTGATGCTTTCAGTTGGTGGTTCGGTCTGAACACCAACCCAATACGTCGTCATCTGATGACCTGGAAATGAGATTGTCATCTTTTTCACTGGATTAACATGTTAACTACAGAACCACACTGAAAATCAAAGTTTTAAACACACACACACACACACAAGTGTATGTCATTGTAACTGAGCACTGGTCAATTTTCCGTCCTGTCTTAAGTCGGTAGATGCTTTTCATTTGGCTATCAGAGGCTGAATGGAAGCCAACTTCCTGTTGGCCTTTGCCTGTTTCCTGTAGGACTATATTAGGATCATGACCTCATTTTGACTGTGAATCATTTTCTCATAGCTCTTTTTGTATGCAGGGTTTCAAATCTCTTCCGTCTTTCTCCCTATAATATTTTTCATATAATGGACAAAAGTCATACACTGTGTTACATCAACTGGCATAACGTTTTCTTTACAATATTACAGAGTAATCTTTCAAGTTATTATGGTAGCTGATAGATTTTCTCAAGTTTTCTTTGTCTCTTCAGCAATGGTAATTATCATTGTTCACACTGGTAGTAGAACTCACATCTAGTGCTTCATAGAAATAAGGATGATTTCTCAGTGATGCAGTGATTTCTCGTTCAGAAAACCCTACACAGATGCTACAGAAAATCTCGATCTGTCGTCATGTAATTTAGTGTATGGGACCCCTTACAGGATGTTCTGCATCCCACATGACAGAGCCTGTTTTCCTCCAACAAAATGTTAATCTGTGTGTGTGTGTGTGTGTGTGTGTGTGTCTGTGTTTGTGTGTTACCAGGAGAAGGATCTTACGAAGAGAGCAGAGCATATGCTCCACCAGGCCGACCGCCTCGGCTGCCGACAGTTTGTTAGTGCCTTTGATGTTGTGACTGGAAACTCAAAGCTCAACATGGCCTTTGTAGCCACGCTCTTCAACAAACACCCGGCTCTCACCAAACCAGAGGACCAAGACTGGAATCTGGAGAGTAAGCCTAGATGGATAATCCCTCTTTCAGCCTCATCTATACATGTAGGAAGTAGCTAACCTATGTAGTCCTGAGTCTGTGAGGCTTACCTCTCTTGTTGTGTTTCCAAAGGTGAGACCAGAGAGGAGAGGACTTTCAGGAACTGGATGAACTCCCTCGGAGTCAATCCACATGTTCACCATATCTATGGGTCAGTATCTCAGTCTGAAATTATATGCTGTGTGTTCATTTTTACTGTTTATTGCCACACTGATGCACAGTGTCTAAAGACGTGCATGTGTGTATATGTGTGTTAATGCAGTGATCTGCAGGATGCCATGGTGATTCTCCAGCTTTATGATCGGATTAAGGTGCCAGTGGACTGGGATTCCAGAGTCAACCTCCCTCCATTCAAGACAACAGGAGGAGGGCATTTAAAAAAGGTACATGTACTGTACATACTACTTTCCAAACTGCTACATTATGTTTACCACCTGAAGTTAACTGGAGTTACAAATATGACCTGACAGTAGTTGTCTCCTTTGGTATATACCTTGGGACACAGGCAACATGAATAACAACACACATACCGTACTTGTATAACTCTGGTATCACTCTGTCTCATTCTGAACAACTGGATTTACTGTAAAATATTATCTTTGTGTTTGTGTGTGTATACGACAGATTGAAAACTGTAATTATGCTGTGGAGCTGGGTAAAACCAAAGCTGGTTTCTCCCTGGTGGGGATTGGTGGAGAGGACCTCTTCAATGGAAATTCAACTCTAACTCTGGCACTGGTGTGGCAGCTGATGAGGAGGTGATTTAACCTTGATGGTGGAACTTGACTTAAATACATGCTAATTCTGACATGTTATGAAAATGAACAGAAACAAGCAAAAACACCACTGAGAAGAGCAACAAGCATCTATTGCCCTTGAGACTCCGAATGTTTGAGTTGCTAGACAGCCTGATACAGAGTAAGGGCGCTGTTTTTCTAGCAAGTTTATTCACTTAAGTGAAGCCATAGGAAAACACAAACGCACCCAAAAATACACCAGGGAAGAATTTTCCCTTTTTGTGGATGGAATCAGTGGGGTTTATGGGAAATGTAGTATTGATTTTGCAAAAGTATTGCAGTAGTAGGAGGCTATCAGTCATTTTATATGGTTCCACTTATTTACAGGAAGGTATTGCAATCAATTAACAGTGTTTTATTTGTTTTGGTAGCATGTTGCCCTTTAAAATAATCCCCTTAACTATTTAACTCACTGGTTTTACCCTGAGCTCCAAACTGTGTAGAATATAGTTTAACTTCACCGTTGATATCCTTACATGTGGTCTTATCTACACACAGGTACACGTTAAATGTTCTGGAGAACCTTGGAGATGGTGAAGTTGCAGGAGATGATTTGATAGTTTCATGGGTCAATAAGACTTTGGCTGAGGCTGGCAAGAGTTCCTCTATCAAAAGCTTTAAGGTGAGTTTTACTTTAGTTATGTCGAAGCTTAGTTTTGAGATCATCATCGTTGTAAGAGAAAGTATTAATTTTGATGATCAGTTCTAGACTTTCTTATTCTTTGTTGCCTGTATGTTGAGTAGACATGTGTGATATGTGTGTGTGTGTGTGTGTATCCCTCTGTTCAGGACAAAGGGATCAGTACCAGTTTGCCAGTTCTGGACCTGATTGATGCCATTCAGCCAGAGAGTGTGAACTTTGAGCTGGTTCAAACAGGAAGTCTGTCAGATGAAGACAAACTGAGCAATGCCAAGTGAGCACCTACCTGCTTTTCTCTGACTCTGACTTTGTTTACTCCTAGTTACTGGGCTTTAGCATGGCATTATATATGTGACTACATTTTGAGTGCGCAATGGGACATCTGCAAAACAGAAAAATGTTTTTGAGAGAAATTATTATCATTCATAGTGGGGCTGGGGGATAAAACAACCTCGCAACGGCGTTACAATAAAACTTTGAATATTTTTTTCTAAACGCTCGCAGCTTGCCGGCAAAACGGCCCAAAATCTGCGGAAAATCTGGCAGCGTAAAAGGGGCTATAGAGACAGACAACCATTCAGGCTCACATTCACACCTACGGGCAATTTAGAGTCACCATTTAACCTGCATGTCTTTGAACTGTGGGAGGAAGCCGGAGTACCCAGTGAAAACCCACGCTGACATGGGGAGAACATGCAAACTAGCGCTAGGAAAATGGTAGCTGCATGAAGTTATTATGGGGGTTGTTGTATGTGAAAAATAGCACCAATATCTTAACAAAACATGATTTATGTGCTTGCAAAAACTTTTTTTCTGTGTTCAATATGTCCCATTGCAAACTTACGATGTTGACACAAATGTAACTCAATTTTAGCTGGTAAAAAATGTGGTGATAAAAAAAATTATGCTCCCATAGTGATCCTAACTGTGACCCTTTCCTGCATCAGGTATGCCATTTCCATGGCAAGGAAGATCGGGGCGAAAGTCTACGCCCTGCCTGAGGACCTGGTAGAGGTCAACCCTAAAATGGTGATGACCATCTTCGCCTGTCTGATGGGGAGAGGCATGAAGAGGGCGTAGAGGAGACACACATTCACATGTACACTCTCCCTCACACACACACACACACATTTTGACTGACTGTGTTGGCCTGTGTGACAGGAGGAGACATGAGGAGAGTGAGCAGAGCTGTATTGTCCTGTTCTTTTGAGCAATTCTTCGTTAGCCAAAATAGAAGTGTCACTTTATTAATCTATTCTGCATTAGGGCTGGGTTTCATTTAAAAAATTGCGATGCCAGTACCAGTAGCAGTACCTCTAAAGTGATACTGATACCAATAGAGTACCTCATTTGATACCTTTTTTCTTTTTACTTCTTTAATACCCATCATGTGAATGGAAGCGATCAGTTGTGTGAAAATGCCACGACCACTCCTCCTCATTCAAATGATTTCTACATTGATACATTATAACTGTATAGTACAGCCATACTTCCTAACAGTTTGGTGACATCTTGGCACGCTGAACTTCCAACTGCCAAATGCACCGGTCTTGGCTTCACCACAACACAGACTGTAATTGGTCGTGGGCCAGTCACATGTTGCATTAAAAAGCACTTGTGGTGATTGGCTGCGAGCAAAACCAGACAAATATGGTACAAAAAGGATCAAACGCAGGTATTGTTTGACTGGAGAAGTTTCGATACTACTTGGTACTGAGTTATTTCGGTTGATACCTTGAAGATATTGAGTAGCGATCCCCAGCCCTATTCTGCATTTAAAACAGACATGAACATTTGTATATATTGACACAGCCAACAGTAATGCTCCTAGGGTTCAAGACCAAGTTAACAGTGAGGTGAGACTTCTATAATGGCTATGTGGTAAATATTTGGGGTTTGGGGTTCTCTTCTGGATCTCAGTTTTGCTTTGGGACACTATGGTGGTTGAGTGATTTGCAGCATCGCATTAAAAACACTCTGTCTCCCATACTGCCCTTAAATATGAATATAAGTGTGAATGTGTTTGTCTAGACTGGTGACCAGTCCAGGGTCTGCCCAGTGCATGCTGGGATAGACTCCTGCCTGCCTGTGACCCTCATGAAGGGTAAGCCTGTTGAGAAAAGAAATGAATAAAAGGTTTAGTTGCTGTGATACATGGGAAACATTTAGAGGCAGTGACCACTTAACTTCTCTCAGTCCTGCTGAAAACACAAATTCAGGGTGATGTTTCTCGTTTTAGCATTTCAGTTGATTTTAAATCTCCAGTAAGATTTTACTGCAGTGTTACCTCTGCATTCTTACTTTCTCCCCACCCATTGACATGCTTGATATTTCCTCAGCTGCATTGCCTCAGAGTTTCCCATGTGTCTCTGCTTCTTAAAATACCATCTAGGTTCTGCTGTATCTTCCAATGTGCCAGCCAAATCAACGAATAAGCATTTATTGTACTTAAACCATAATATGATATTCTTTACGGAATACCTTTTGGCCTTTTTAAGTATGACCAAAGCTGTGCTAGATTATAAGTTCATGTTGTCACACTAGAAACTGTAAAACCTTTGAAGTCCATTAACTTACTCATTAATACTCATGTAGTTCAAGTATTTTAAATGGGATTTTAAGGGGACAGATATTAAATATTAGTGGATTTATGGATGTAATATACTTGTGCCTTTTATAAGGCACACATTCAGGTGTTTTTAATGGATAATCTTTAAGGGCTGTTTAAGGGTTAAAAAAACCTTTAAAACTGACAAAATAACATGAATGCCATCCCTTAATTTAAATTATATCAAGGGTCTTAATTTTGTTTTCAGTTATTGAGAAAATTTTATGTTATTTAGTACATTTTAAACATGACATTTTAAAATCATCTTAAAACTTGCAGATAATCCATTAAAAACCTATTAATAAATATCAATATAATCAATTAATTGACCTCAAATTATTTTATAAAAAGATAACAAAAAGCCGTTTTCTATATTACAGTCCACTATTGTATCCATTATAAAAGTGCAAATCTGGACTATTAAAAAGATGAATGTTGCAAAATAATCCCTCAAAATGCCATTTATTTGCACCTGAAAATGTTTTAGACTCCTAATGTAAATCAGGGCCCCACCCATAAAAACCCCTTAAAATGATGAGCAGTCACAGCTCTTGTTTTATAAACAATAAAAACTGTTTATTTTGTTCGTCTATGCAACAGTTTCTTATCTGAGTTGTTGACATCTGACTTTTAACATATGAAAGCTGCTGCTGCTGTTGAATAAACTCAGTTATACAGAAATGAAAATGATATGTACCTGTATTGTATTGGATCTATATGAAAAATAAAATTAAAATTAATATAAATGCTGTCAAAAGATGATTCCCAGATTATTTATACAGAAACAGAACATGTGAATTTGAACATGTGATGTTGATGTTCTGTTGCTGATGAAACAGCTATGATTGAAATATGACTCCTGCTATAAACATCATGAGACAGGTTGCTGTATTAATCCTAACTAAAAGTTATCCAGGTGTGTTGCTGCTGATGTCAGCAGTCCACTTTTGTTCTGTTTTTTTCTTTCATCCCAAATGTTTGCCAAAAATTGCTTTACATGCCAGCAATACTTCCAAAACTCAGTGTGTAAAAAATCAGATATATAATGTTCAATAAAATCATTTTTTCCATATATTGTTGTTTCGTTGTTATCTGTTCTTTGTTTTTGCTCTTTTTCTGCCATAAACAGAATCTTAAGTTTGCCAAAAGGGTAAGTAAAGATTTTGTCAATATCTAATTAGACTCAATTATTGGACTATATTTGGATAATTCATTCATAAACAGAGCAAAAATGTATTAAATGTGCATTTTTATTATGCATTTAAAACTAAAAATGAAATTACTTTTCAATATTAAATCACAATATCAAAAAGGCTTTCTTTTGATTTTAGATTTCTTTCATTGTGTGTTCCACTGTGTTTGCCTCATTTTCCATCTTACATTTAATTTGTTTGCTGTTCATCATATTACGGACACTGCAGTAAATTTCTCTCTTTAAAATCAACACATAAGCAGTATTGAAAAAATTAAACAGGGTCCCACACATAGCAGCTGACCATTGAATTTCATCTGTCAGTTTCTTAATTACTGTTATTAATCAATCTGTTTTGGTGGTACACGTCAGACTCCACAGTCCAACAACTAGAATCTACTAAAACAGCAATGTCAAGATTGAAGATCTAAACATTTTGAGATTACACACACTTTTTCTTTCTGGATTATGCTAAGGTAGGCTAACCACATTCTGATTACAGCTTCATTCTTAAAGGGACAGTTCATCTCCAAATCAAAAATATTTTTTTTCTATCAATCCAGATCGTTTGGGTGTGAGTCACTGAGTGCTGGAGATGTTTAAAGAAACTGTCTTTAGTTTGATTCTAGAGAAATCCATAAGTATTCAGATAAGATTGCATTTGCCAATGTAGGCTGTTGCTACTGTATGTCAACAGTGTGGTTGATATGACATCATAATAGTACAGTATTATGGATAGTTGTCATCAATGTTGGGGGGCAGCTGCATGTGTCCTGGGTCTCATTCAACTGATCATATGTGACATTCAGTCCCAAAGGCATACTTGCTGTTACCCTGCACATGCTTTCAGGTTTTGTGTGTGTGTGTGTGTGTGTGTGTGTGTGTGTGCACACAGTAATTTGGAGTGAATTGTGTTCCAGAACACACATGGAGCACATTTTAAGCTAAAAACATCAGGTTCCATCTCAGCCTTTTATCCCTCTGCTCAGTACAACACTAATGGCGAATCTGAGCGGTATCTTGGATTAAAATCCAGTTTCTTAACAGAGCTTCAATAAAACTGTTCCAATTCACGTGTGCAGGTGTGAGCATAAAAGCACTTCTCTTTCAGTAATCAGGGGAATATACGCACACAAAGACGCACTTGTAGTTCGAAGGCCACTTCACACAAGGTTCTTGAATTCAGATGAGCGTGGTGTTGAAAAGGAACACACACGCGCACACACAATTTGCAATTTAAAGGATGCTTTTGTGGAGTACCATGTGATCAGTCTTTTGATCGGTTGTTCACTCCATCCATCCATCCATCCATCCAACCTTTCATAGGACTGTCTGTCCTTGTGAATCTAAATAAATTGATAGAGATGGGATGCAGCTGAACTACAGACGTGAGCTGAACTTGTCGAGCTAATGTTGAGATATCTGGACATTTATCAGGTTTGTTGATTTCGGATACTCTCTGTCTCTACCTCTTATGATCTGTTGTCATAACTACTTTACAGCTTGTTGCTATGCCATCTGGTTTCCATGGTGATGCCTGATAAAGGATGACCTCGTACTGGATGACCTTCCTTTTCTGACTGTGGGTTCATCATTGCATGTGTGTGTGCTGGTTAGTGAGTTATGTGTTTGGCAGTCTGCGTGAGACTCTCTATGTTGGCATGTCTCTTTAAAGTCAGTGAGTGTTGTAGCTTGTATTTTATTGTGTGTATGTCGTAACTGAGTGTGTATCTGTCTGTCTGTCTGACTGTATGGTGATAATGAATTTGGATTGAGTCTTGTTATGGTGTGTGTGTGTGTGTGTGTGTGTGTGTGTGTGTGTGTGTGCAGTATGACGGGTCTGGTGCAGGATTCACACAGGCTGTCTGTGAAAACATGGACAGAGGAGGAGAGTGACCGAGCTGACAGCACACTGAGCAGGTACACACACATACACACAGTCATACACACATGTTCTCAGTCGTATGTGTGGTGCTGGTTCCTGACCTGTACGTACGCTTCATCTTGGCTCAGCTGTTTCCAATATGGTGGCTGGGTTACAAACTTTCTCATTTCAGTGCACTGAAATAGGTTTCTGAAAACATCTGAGGTGAGAAATAGACAATGCAGTGACAGAGTCTTGATTCATATGTGATCAGCGCTGCCTAGTTTCAAAGTTCAGTTCATGGGCAGTGATTAACATGATTGACAGATGTGTTGGAGGCTCATCAGCTCTGACTGGTTTTGTTTTTTTTAAGTGCGATGTAGTCGATTCTAGGGAATGCCAGTAAAAGTTGCAGGACGATGAGGAGGAACATGACTTTTTTTTTTTTTTTTTACAGACTATCTGTCACATGTACTTCTTCAGAATATGAGACAAAGTTATTGTCATAAACGTTTACAACTGCAGCTTTAATGTAGGTGTCTGTGTCTCATAGTTCATAGCAGAACTTTCAGTTATATTGCATGACACTGGCAGCAGGTCAGCCTATGTAATTTTGGATTACAAACTTATGTAACATGTTAAAAAATATATATATATTTTGTTAAAATATGCATGTTTTACAGGATTTATGTTTTGTATTTAAAGCTGCACCAATTAATATTTTTATACTTAAGCGATACTAAAGATTTTTTGAAGTGGAGTTGCATGAGGTACCATAGGCGGTATATTATAAACAGATGGTGGTCAGTATGCCATGTTTGGAGAAGCAGACTGAAGTACTGCCATGGAGGCTGAGCAATGTACTGCTGTGAATGGGAAACATATACTTTAGCCATCTAAAAAAATGTTCCATGTAAGCAATCAATATCAGTTTAAGTGTACACTATACTGAAAGTATTTTCACCACTTTACCTTTCTGCCAGACAGCATTTCCAACAGAGAACTGAAGCTATTATATCGCTCTCTTTAACGCCAGAGAGCCATTGAGAAAAACAGTGATTTAACATCACTGAACATAGTAGTGGCTGGTCTACCCCTGCCTTGAACATTTATTTTGTGTGTGTGTGTGTGTGTGTGTGTGTGTGTGTGTTATTGTTTGACTTTGGCGTTTAAAAGGGTTTGTTCAGAAAGTCACACAAGAGTAAGTAAGTATAATTTATTTATATAGCGCTTTAGGTCTCAAAGGGCTTCACAAGGGCAATATACAACAAGAAAGGAATCATAAAGACAAAGTGACTATGTGAGCCACATTGTGAAAAGTGGATCACTAGCAAAACCCTTTGCGCACACACAAGAAAAATAGAATTCATACTGCACAACACCAACAGCTGCACTGCCCAAGATTTACATCAATAATGAATAGATGTTCATTTATATGAATATACACACACACACACACACATATATATATATATATATATATATACAGTACAGGCCAAAAGTTTGGACACACCTTCTCATTCAATGCGTTTTCTTTATTTTCATGACTATTTACATTGTAGATTCTCACTGAAGGCATCAAAACTATGAATGAACACATGTGGAGTTATGTACTTAACAAAAAAAGGTGAAATAACTGAAAACATGTTTTATATTCTAGTTTCTTCAAAATAGCCACCCTTTGCTCTGATTACTGCTTTGCACACTCTTGGCATTCTCTCCATGAGCTTCAAGAGGTAGTCACCTGAAATGGTTTCCACTTCACAGGTGTGCCTTATCAGGGTTAATTAGTGGAATTTCTTGCTTTATCAATGGGGTTGGGACCATCAGTTGTGTTGTGCAGAAGTCAGGTTAACACACAGCCGACAGCCCTATTGGACAACTGTTAAAATTCATATTATGGCAAGAACCAATCAGCTAACTAAAGAAAAACGAGTGGCCATCATTACTTTAAGAAATGAAGGTCAGTCAGTCCGGAAAATTGCAAAACCATCAAGCGCTACAACGAAACTGGCACACATGAGGACCGACCCAGGAAAGGAAGACCAAGAGTCACCTCTGCTTCTGAGGATAAGTTCATCCAAGTCACCAGCCTCAGAAATGGCAAGTTAACAGCAGCTCAGATCAGAGACCAGATGAATGCCACACAGAGTTCTAGCAGCAGACCCATCTCTAGAACAACTGTTAAGAGGAGACTGCGCGAATCAGGCCTTCATGGTCAAATAGCTGCTAGGAAACCACTGCTAAGGAGAGGCAACAAGCAGAAGAGATTTGTTTGGGCCAAGAAACACAAGGAATGGACATTAGACCAGTGGAAATCTGTGCTTTGGTCTGATGAGTCCAAATTTGAGATCTTCGGTTCCAACCGACGTGTCTTTGTGAGACGTGGAAAAGGTGAACGGATGGATTCCACATGCCTGGTTCCCACTGTGAAGCATGGAGGAGGAGGTGTGATGGTGTGGGGGTGTTTTGCTGGTGACACTGTTGGGGATTTATTCAAAATTGAAGGCACACTGAACCAGCATGGCTACCACAGCATCCTGCAGCGACATGCCATCCCATCCGGTTTGCGTTTAGTTGGACGATCATTTATTTTTCAACAGGACAATGACCCCAAACACACCTCCAGGCTGTGTAAGGGCTATTTGACCAAGAAGGAGAGTGATGGAGTGCTGCGGCAGATGACCTGGCCTCCACAGTCACCGGACCTGAACCCAATCGAGATGGTTTGGGGTGAGCTGGACCGCAGAGTGAAGGCAAAGGGGCCAACAAGTGCTAAACACCTCTGGGAACTCCTTCAAGACTGTTGGAAAACCATTTCAGGTGACTACCTCTTGAAGCTCATGGAGAGAATGCCAAGAGTGTGCAAAGCAGTAATCAGAGCAAAGGGTGGCTATTTTGAAGAAACTAGAATATAAAACATGTTTTCAGTTATTTCACCTTTTTTTGTTAAGTACATAACTCCACATGTGTTCATTCATAGTTTTGATGCCTTCAGTGAGAATCTACAATGTAA